CCTTCCCTAAACTTGGTCAACTTGACCTTAACTAAAACTATCTTAACAACAAATTAACTCTTAAGGATTTCTTGACCCTTAGAGTTCTTAAACAACAATTACACTAATTCAACAATTAATCACATATATCATATAATTAATCAATAAAATTAAAATACACTATTACATAATTAAAAGTTCTTAATAAATATATCAATTATATAATTTTTCACAAAATTAAAAAATCATTTTATACATTATTTCATTTATTGAAATCAACGTATGTTCATAAAAACATATCATACATCAATTTGAATCAATGAAATGAAACATTATATATTTTTCAAATTTTTCAAAAATTTGTATACCTCATCTATTAATTAAGGAATTTTAATTAAATGATCTCATTGTTAAAATTCAATATATATATATATATATATTATAAGTTATATAAAAAAATATTTTTGTAATTACTTATCTTAAAAATATATAAAGTATATATGTAATACTTTTTAAAAATATAATTATTATTCAAATATTTTCTTTAAAAATTATTTTAATAATAATTATTTAATTTTTAAGATTTTAATTACCAATATACTTTAGATTTATATTTCAAAAGCATTAAAAATATATATAAGATAATATGTTGAATGCAAAATTTATAATATATTTTACATATATTAATTAATATTATATATTTTGTGTATATATATATTTGTTATGTATTATTAGTAGAGAAAAAATATTCAGTAATTTTATATATTTTATTTAAATAAAAAGTAAACAGAGAAAATGAAAGTTATGATAAGAGAAAGTTTATGATGGTTAATAGTTGGAGAAAAAACAGACAGCATATATGTACATATTTGGGGGCAATTCTACAGGATTGTAGATATACACAATTACCGACACAAACAACACTCTTATGTCACATACTAAAAGAGGGCAAACATAGTGAGATTTTAGCCAAATTAGCTTTTACTTCTTTTGATCAAATCTGGTTGTACTATTTTCCTTCTCAGATTGACAATGATGTATATGTATCTCTTGATGTCGAGTGTTTTCCTCCTCTAGTTCGTGAATGAATCAATTTTCTCTAAGAAAAAAAAGAAGAAGAGATATCCGTATAAGTAAAAATAATTGTTGGTGCCTTGGTGAGAAATTGTGCGTGGAAGTGAGAGATAAGGTAGCCAAAAAAAATGAAAAGGAAATTAATAGGAACAATTGTTATATTTATAATGTAATTTAAGGGTCTTTATAAAGGGAAGACCAAAAAAGTAGTTGATTGTCAAAGCTTTTTATTTATCTATTGGTATAGATATATAAGTATTATATATTTTGCAAAAAAAATATAATATAATGTACACCTACTATTTTAAATTCTAATAACGGGTAAATTAAATAAAAATATATTAAGAACTATTTTTTAGTGAAAATATTTTTCTAATTTTTTTGAATTTTTATTTATTTTAACTTGTTATTTTCACCTTAATTTTATATATCAACTAGTATTTAGGTGTATAATACACAAGATAACTTTTTTTCTTATAATTAAAATTTATAATAATAAATGTTTTTTATCATATAAATGAAAATTTAAATTTGATAAATAATTTGTGTCATGATATAAGGTTATCCACAATTATTAACAATATTAAAAACAATATATTGAAATTTAATTTAAAAAATAAAAATAACATATTAAAAGAAACAAGAAATTAATAAGTTTTCTAAAAATATTTTTTCTAAAGAAAAATAAAAAATACTTTCATCTAAGAATAATCCTTAAAAATGTTTCCTTTTAAAATACATTTTATAATTTATAAAAAGAAGATAAATTATATTCTGGCAAATAATTTGTATTGCGATAGAAATTTATTTTTAACTATTGAAAATATTAAATTTTATTTTAAAAATAAAATTAAAAATGATAGATTAAAAAATGTAAAAGGTTAATATTTTAAAAACATCTTAATTGAAGAAAAATAACTTTAAATAAGTTTGTTGAAGGACGGTCTTTAAAAAATCTTTGATTCAATATTGTATTCTAATTTATATATAGAACTAATAGTATATATATTATTTAAAAGAATATTAAATTTAATTTAACAATTGAAATTAAAATAATAGATTAAAAGATAAATATTAAAAAAATTATCAAAGACAAACAACTAAAAACATTATCACTAAAGAATAATATCAAAAGAAACATAAATAACGGGGGAATGAATGACCTTGAAACTTGAAAAACAATAAGACAATAATGTTAAATACACAAATGGTGACACTTTAAAGGCATCAACACCAAGCAATAGTCAAGAAAAAAGACAGAGAGGAAAACCCAAAGTAGAGAAATTAAACTACGCAACAAGGGAAAAAATAATCTAACTACGATTAATCCAAAATCGTTAAAATTATCCATCACTATAACAAAATCGCGAGAAATTTATCATATTTAAGTAAATCCTTGTTAATTTTATAATTTTCTGATTTAGATAAATCGTGATTAATAGGCTATAATTAAAAATATTTTTCCTTGTAGTGTCATATATAATCAAAATCGTGAAAGAAAAATTCAAAGCGTGTGGTTCAGC